ATTCCAGTTTCAAAATTTTAACACACGAAGCCCTGAATACTAAACTGAAGCTCTGCATTGTTACCACAATGGATGACTATTCCAAGTTCTGATTAAAACTGAATCTTTGGATGTTTCTGTCTATACTTCAGTTGGTTCAGAAGCCTTTGAAGATTCACATAATTAACTAGGCACTAGTGGCTCATGCCTGCAATCGTAGCTCTAAAGGAGGCTGAAATCTGAGGGCTGTGGTTCAAAGCCAGCCCAGGCAGGAAAGTCCATGAGATTCTTGAATTCCTATAAACCATTGGAAAACCAGATGTAGAGCTGTGGCTCAAAGTGGTAGAGCACTAGCTTTGAATAAAAAAGCTCAGGGACAGTGCCAAGACTCTGAGTTCAAGCCCCATGACTGAGGTACAAAGAGATTCACATAATCAATCTTTCAAGGAAAGTTCACATTGGAGAAATTTCTATTGTAAATCTACCCGTAATGGAATTTCCCTTCTATGACAGAGTGATAGCCTAGGAAACATACCAAAGAACTTTTATTCTAGATTTAGTCAAAATGAGGCCATTTTTTTTATCTCTCTCTGAGTGGCTGAACTAAGGATTTCATTTTTCAGTGCTAGGCAAACACTCTACCAACTGAGCTACCTTGCCAGCCCCAGTTTCCTTTTTGGTGTGGGCTGGGGATTAAACACAGGGTCTTGGCCATGCTGGGCAAGTGCTCTGCTAGTTTTCTATAGACATAGCCACAGACCTCTAGGATTTTCACCAGAGTTTTGGGGGGGGGGTTGGTGCTTGTCCTGGGGCTTGAACTCAGCCTGGGCCTTGTCTCTGAGCTTCTTTGCTCAAGGATGGTGCTCTACCAACTTGAGCAACAGTTCTACTTCCAGATTTTTGTTGATTAATTGGAGAGGCTGCCTTTGAACCATGATCCTTATAGCTCAGTGTCCTATATAGGCACGAGCCACCAGTACCTGGCTCAAAGTTCTTTTATGAAATTAATATTGATGGCTATTAAAATAAATATTATTTTCTGGTGTCATTTCAAATCACCTTAATATTTAAACTTTCTTATCAGAAAAGTATATATTTCTTTTTAAAAATCAAGAATGCTAAGATTTAATAAATCAGGAAATAAAAATGTTTTGAGTATATGACAATATCAATAAAGAATCTTATTACTATAAATAGTTTTCATTACTTACTTCCTTTGGTACAGATAGGAATTTTGTTATATGACCCCTAAAAATAGAACATATGAGAGGAAGTGAAATTTTCATTTAGGAGTCCGATCCAGATATAGAAAATATATATCTTCTCAATTAAATGTAATTTAGGTATATGAAAAAGAAGGCTGAATATGTGATGAATATATGTAATATATGATGAATAGGTAATTTCCCTATGTGACTTATGGAAACAAATTTCACTACTTTAAAAGCCCACTGTGTATTTCTGTTAATTTTTCAGATCTGAAAAGCATACGTGTAAGTGAATATGAAATATAGTGCTAAGTTGAGAGTGGATTGGGGAGAGAAGGGAAGATTCCAACAGTACCATAGAAATCATGGCCGAGGAGGAGCAGGGAAGGCTGGTGTAAGAGAATCCAGAAAGGCTTTCCAGCAGAAGCTCGAGGTCAGAGCAAGATTTCTATAGTTGAGCATAAGGAAATCTGCTTCTCCATTTTGCTTTAAAATGGTCTCCTTCTCCTTCTTGAAACTCTATTTCCTGGATCCTGTCTTATTTCTTTGATCATCTGTAGTTTCAGCTGTTATACAAAGTGATGCTGTCCAAAAGATGTGAGAGTAGTAAGTGTGGTATCAAGTGTTAAGAAAAAGGTAGATCGGTGGTGGCAGGAGGGAAGATAGATGGAGACAGACATTGCTAAGTAGTGTTAGATGCACAGGATGATAAGTGAGGGGAAATTGTCAGAGAGGGAGAGTTGAGGAAGAACTCTGAAAAATAGGACTCTGATTGTACCTAAGTCATATCATGGTAGTGACAGCAAAGAGGGAAATGGTAGTTGACTGGGGATAGTCATGATCATTGTATTCCTGTTTCAATACATTAAATTTTAAGTATTGGCAATCTACTGAGTAGAAATATCTTACAAGTAGCTGAACTTCAAGGTATGAGAATCCATTGGTTTCTAGCAGAAGAGTCATTACTAAAATGACCCTGATGGGAAAATAGATTTCTACTTCTTTGCTTTAAGACTGTCTCGGTTCCCAAACTTACCTAGAAATTGATTTGAACACCATACTCTCTACATCATGGTTTCAATATGTCTTCCAATATTATTCTTCTACTTGGCAGTGTGACTTAGGAGAAAAGACAGCTTTGGAGTCAGACCCTGGTTCAAATCCCAGACCTTTCTTTTACATACTGTAGCCATAGCTAAGTCATTTATTATGTTGAGCTTTTTGTTTCCCTCGACTGCAAGTGCAGATAGTAATTGTAGAGAGGGGAGGATGAGGAAATTAGAATGTTGTAGCACAACATTCTGCCCCTATGGAGTGTCAATTCACTTGGTGGGTATTAGTATCACTGAAACTGATTAATGACATAGTTTATCCTTTCATTGGGGCAATTTCCAGTGGCTCCTAAAGAGACAAGAGCCAGTTCCCAAAGTTCTTCCAAGTGTTTTGAGGTGGAACTATGCCATTAGCCTGAAGCTAAGTTAAGTGGGGGGTGTCCAGCCCAAGCATTACCAGCAGAGTTTGGAAAACAAATCCCTGATTCAAGCAGACGAACCCATTTTAAGAGCCAGAATACTGCACTTTTGTTAGATTTAGAAACTTTTTAAAAGTACTAAGGGTTTTGTTTGGAAGTCCAACCAGAAGAAAACAAGAGGTCCTTGGTTATCTGGTTTGCTTGTTATTGTAAGCCAAATGTCCACAGTAGTGCATTGCATGTAGAAGGTGAATAATAAATAATGAATAAATAAATGAGATAGTGACCTGTATCTTATATGTGTTCTAACATGGTGCTGAGTAAACAGGAGACCCTTAATGAATACTTGACTGGTGAATATATGGGCTTATACCCCAGTTTGTCAGAGGTTTTTCATGAGGTACCAGAATTGAAACCATCATCCCAAACATGAGTTTGATATACTATCATCGTTCTCTCTTTTCAAACTTATCTAGTCATTTATTTCTCTCCTCAAAACAGGTAGATATTGTCTTGGAAGTGAGTCAGGAAAGTAAAATGAAAGGAGATTTGTTTTTAAGTTGGAGTTAAAAATTGGGGCTGGGAAGGTGGCTCAGTAGTAGAGCGCTTGCCTTGCATGCCAGAGGCCCTGGGTTCGATTCCTCAGCACCACATAAGCAAAAAGAACAAAGCCGGAAGTGGCGCTGTGGCTCAAGTGGTAGAGCGCTAGCCTTGAGCTGAAGAGCTCAGGGACAGCACCCAGGCCCAGAGTTCAGGTCCCATGACCGGACCCAAAAAAAAAATTGTGTGTAACATTGAATACACTGGATACAATGCTTGATAAGAAATGTACTCATTATCTTGCCCATGTAATTGTAACCCTTTGTATAGTATTTTCACAATAAAAAATAAATAAAAATTTTAAAAAAGAATACATTGGATAGAATAAAGAGAAAAACATTATTTTTAGAAGATGGAGACTAACAAGGCATATAACAAATTTGTTTATACACTGAATCTTTCCCTTCAGCACTCCAAGTTTGTGTAACTCTGGTTCTGAGAGAACAGCAAAATTCCTCCCCTATCAGCAGACATGAAGGCTCAGTAATGTTATAATGATCTTTTTATCCAGTTGGAGGGTGAATCTGGATTGAAACCTCAGTTTTAGCAGTAAGAACAATCCCAGAAGTGGAAAGTAAGGCAGCATATTGGAAGAATGTGAAGAGGGTAGTGTGGTTAAAATGAAGGGTATATGGGGAAAAAAATTATTGGAAATCAGACTAAATAAGTATGAGAGAGATTACAGAGTACTTTAAAGAATTTAGATTGTGATCTATAGTAATCATATTGAAATCATGTTTAAAGTAATAATAAACTTGAATAAGCTATCTGACAAAAGCTAGTGTGCAAAACAAATTTTAAAAGAGGAGGTTTCTCTAATTGAAGTTGAACTCTTGCCCTTGGCCTGTGGACAGAAACGTCAGAAACTGCCAGGGCTGAGTGCTGACGTGCTTTGGACAGGTGACCTCTATGCCAAGTGGCTCACAGACAGAGAGAATAGAACCACCTCCCCTGGAGGCAGAAAGCAGAGGGGGGCTGCCAGGCCTGGGGTTCTAAAGGAGTCAGGAAACATCAGAAAGATAGGCGCAGAAAAGTCATAAAGGAGCCGCTGTGGAAGATGACAGGACAATAACCAAAAATGGCAGAGGGTAAAGAAGGCAGCTACTGAATCTGAGGAAAGACAGTCATGTGTTTTCTAAGTGTTTTAGGCGTCTAGACAATTATATCCACCTAAATGTCAGAAGAGAAGGCAGCACTCTTGTCTACCAGTTTTCTTCCCCTTTTCAAACAGAGGAAACCAAAGCCCATTGCCTGAGCTTGAAAGCTACATGTTGTTATTTTTAGAAACTTAAAATGCTTATGCTTTCATCAGAAATACATTTCCTCCATGCCCCCATGCTAGTAACATCTTAGTAACATTTCGATTTTGGTAACATTTCTGTAGTTTGACAGCTGGTCTGTAATACTGATCTTTGAAAACTAATTGCTTCCAAAGGAGTTAGGTTGTAATTACTTTGAGTGACTTCAAACAGAAGTACAGCAAAATTATTTCTCCAAGGTTTTGCCTGTGCTTTCCAAAATCCTGAAGTACGCAGATAAATCACAACTGAGGGATGGCCGGTGAGTCCTGGCGAACGCGCGCGTCCCCTCGCGCGGCAAGCCATCCCGGCGCAAAGAACGTTGGACAGAGAATGAATGACAGCCTCTGCTCAGCGCATCTGCTGGGGACCAGCTCCGCTTCCTGTGCGATTCTGAAACGTGTGATGCAAAGGCTCCCGCCCTTTTCTGGGAACACAGCCTGACCCAGCAGCCTGGCTATTAAAGCTCTCCGCCTGCTGCCGGCAGGCGCCCCACTGCTCCCCACCGTTCTCCACTGCCGAGATGAAGCTTCCAGACTGGTGCTGGCTGAGCTCAGCTGTCCTGGCTGCTTGCGGCTTGGTGGTGGTGGCAAACAACGAAACCGAGGAAATTAGGGATGGGAGGGCAAAGGACGCCTGCCCGGCGATGCTGGAGAGCAGAGGGAAATGCTCCTCGGCCGGCGAGTGTCCTTTCCAGGTGACCCTGCCCCCGCTGGCCATTCAGCTGCCCCAGGAATTCGGCAGAATAGAGGAGGTGTTCAAAGAAGTCCAGACTCTCAAGGAAATCGTCGACAGCCTCAAGAAATCTTGCCAAGACTGTAAGTTGCAAGCTGATGATCACCGAGATCCAGGACATGGACTGGGGTCCCCTGGCACGGGAGCCCCGGGAGAGGCTGGGGACAATAGAGTTGAAGAATTGGAGAACGAGGTGAGCAAGCTGTCCTCCGAGCTGAAGACTGCAAAGGAGGAGCTCGACATGCTGCAAGGTCGCCTGGAGAAACTGAATCTTGTAAATATGAACAACATAGAAACTTACGTCGACAGCAAAGTGGCCAATCTCACATCTGTGGTCAATAGTTTGGACGGCAAATGTTCATCCAAGTGTCCCAGTCAAGAGCTAATCCAGTCCCAGCCAGGTATGTGAATTTGTAATCATGTTTTCTTATCAGTTCAGGGAGGTTATATAGCTAGGGCGTGTCCACAGCGTTGCAGCCCGAGGGAATAAGTTAAATAAGTGAAGGATTAAATGTCTAAGTCTTTTGTTTCATTAAGGTAGTCCAGGAAAAACAAGTATCTTCTGGAATGGGACTTCAGAAATGATACTTGACCTCTTTCCAAATCTCATCACTGGCTCTGTCACCACCAGAAAGCACTTTCAGTTTCAACATCTTATTTGCTTCAGTGCCAGACTTTCTTCACACAAGCACCAGCAGCAAGAGAGAATTTCTTAATGGCTTTGTGCCTTTAGTCTATCATTTTCCTGATGTGTTTGAACACCTGAGAGAGAAGGCAAGGTTGGCAGCTGTGCTTTGTTCATTGGACATTAGTTTTTCTTGGGGTTGGCTGGCTGCCAGGTCTCATGTAGCAACAAGTGGTCTTTGAAAGATTTTTAGCAAGCAATCTACAGTTCATAATTGAAAATATCTACTGAAAATGGGAGGTTGTATAGATGAAATAAAAGCCATTTCCTGTGTGTGTGTGTGTGCAAAACTTTTTGCTTTGAGATTTAGTGGCACAAAAATGTTTTGAGGGAAGAATTTTTGGCATGTCACTAAGGGAAGGAATAAAACCTTTTTTTTTTCTTTGACTTTAAGCTAGTTTTCAAACATAAAGAAACAGAATCCAATCTCACTATCCGGACTTAACTTTAACACATACGAGAAAACACAGATCTAACTGCCTACTTTGCCCTTGAACCGATGGCTCCCCCAATTCCTAAATTCCTGGGACTACTACTCCTTGGTCATCTTACTTTGGAGAGCCACCACTGCCTATCCATTTAAAGGGACAGAGCAGAGACTCCTTTTTATCCTGAAACACTTTGGGCATGCTCCATCCCCAGAGGATTTGCCAGAGCTGGTAGAGAGGAAGGCAGTGGTTGCAATGACCACAGCTGCTAATACTCTTGGCAGCCTAGACGTGAATTTCACAGATTGCAAAGCAGATGTTCACGACTTCAGTGAAATCACTGAGTACACAGCTAGATATGACACTGCCTGGCAAGAATTAATTTTCCTCCTAAGAGGTTTAGGGAAATATCTGAATATTCTGAGTTCTAAATATATAGGAGTAGAGAGGGCATGTTGGTATACCTGTCTATAAAACCCAGTTACTTGAAAGGCAGAGGTAGGAAGATTATGAGGCCAGCTCCAGGCAAAAGATAATAAATATAAAAATAAATAAATAAAATAAGTAAATAATAAAAGAAAAAGAAAAGCAAAAGGAGTAGTTGTGTAGCTGAAGTGATCAAGTGTTACTTACTACATGCACAAGACTCTGGCTTCAATTCCCCGAGCCACAAAACAGCAGTAGAAGCATCCATATGAATATATTTTTGTACCTTAAAGTACTGTATACTAAACTCACCACATCTGCCATACAGTTTATAAAAATTATTTGGGAATAAATAGCTGCTAAACCCTGTTAATGAATGACATCTATCTTGAACATAACCACCTGTTGTTTCTTTGTAGAAACTGAATATGTGCAATACTAAATTCAGAACCATTATTTTTTAAAAAGGGCATCATTTTTAAAAGACTGAAAAAATGAGCTTCCTTTGTATAGTTGTCAAGGAAATTAAATGTGAATTTACAATCAATGTCTACTCCAGCTTTCATGTATCCTTTGGAACATATGCTATAAAACTTCCTTCCCGTGCCTAGACTGCAGTTCTAGGAGAGTTGGGGTCATGTGAGCTGTAGGACAGAAAAGCAATGGCCATGAGAGTAAATTTTGCTTCTAGACAGATATGAGTTTGTGCCCCACCTCTGCCATTTAATGCTGGTGTGAACTTCAGTAAGCCACTGGGCCTCTTTGTGCCTAAATATCCCCATCAGCAGCTAGTGATACTACTTGTATGAAAAGGTTGGTGTGCAGATTAAATGTGACACTTTTATCCAGTGTTTAGCAGAATGTCTAGAACATAGCAGTACTCATTACATGTTACCTTTACATATTCATTTTTAGAGTTAGTTACTCATTATTCATGTTATCATGCTTATTGCCAAGCAAAGGTATGTTAGTCTTGTCTATCACATCGAGTTCTTGGTCTGTGTCCTTAAAAATCACTTGCTGCCCAGATTCAGGTGAATTTAGCAGAGGAAGGTTATTGTCATTAATGATCAGACTGCATTTGTGTAAAGAGTTTTCCAGATGCATACTTTCATTAACAAAATCCCATGGCTTTCTTTTCTTCCTCCTTCAGTTCAACATCTAATATATAAAGATTGTTCTGACTACTACGTAATAGGCAAAAGGAGCAGTGAGACCTACAGAGTTACCCCAGATCCCAAAAACCGCAGCTTTGAGGTGTTCTGTGACATGGAGACTATGGGGGGAGGCTGGACCGTGCTGCAGGCTCGACTTGACGGGAGCACCAACTTCACCAGAACATGGGAAGACTACAAAGCAGGCTTTGGAAACCTCCGGCGAGAGTTTTGGCTGGGAAATGATAAAATTCATCTTCTGACCAAGAGCAAGGAAATGATCTTGAGAGTCGATCTTGAAGACTTTAATGGTGTCAAACTGTATGCCCTCTATGATCAGTTTTACGTGGCCAATGAGTTTCTCAAATACCGTTTACACATTGGCAACTACAATGGCACGGCTGGGGATGCTTTGCGTTTCAATAAGCATTACAACCATGATCTGAAGTTTTTCACCACCCCAGATAGAGACAATGATCGCTATCCCTCTGGCAACTGTGGGCACTACTACAGTTCAGGGTGGTGGTTTGATGCATGCCTTTCTGCAAACTTAAATGGCAAGTATTACCACCAAAAGTACAAAGGTGTCCGTAATGGGATTTTCTGGGGCACTTGGCCTGGTATGAATGAGGCACAGCCTACTGGCTACAAGTCCTCTTTCAAAGAGGCCAAAATGATGATCAGACCCAAGCACTTTAAGCCATAAATCACAAGTTCTCATCTCTCCAGGCATTTATTATCAATAGGGCAACAGATTCCTCATCACTTTGGAATATGCTTTATTTCCTATTTCCTTTCTATGACTAAAAATTGTCTCGGAGTAGCAGACTCCTAGGCTATACAGCTTTTGAAAAATGTGCATTTAAAAAGACTCCTTGGAAGCTATTATCCAATGCATGCATGAAAGCATTGAGAATTATTCATTTTATTTGTAAATCCTTTTAATTTCTATTAATTGAGTTCATTAGTACGTGTACTACTTTCTAAAATTAAAAAAATGTTTATTCAGTAAGATAGATTCTCAGAAGCAACTGCTACTATGATGTGTCTAGACAAGCACATTTGAAAAGATACTTTTATTCTATAAATTATTTGCATATCTATCTCTAAATATGAAGATTACTTCATTCTGAGATAAACTTACTCAAATTTACATTTGCATTTACTTTGTATCAAGAAAATATTACAGCATTTTAGTTCCCAAACAATGGAAAATATGCATTATTAACCTATTTGTAGAATATTCATTGAATGTAGAATTTGTCATTAAACTTGGGTATGGTCGTACATGCCTATAATTCAACAATAGGGAGGTTGAGGCAAGAGGATTGTGAGTTTGAGGTCAGCCTGAGCTACACAGTGAGATCTTCTCTCAAAAAACAAAACAAAAAAAAAACAAACAAGGTATAACATACCTCAAAATGTAATAGCCTAATGTCACCCTCCAAACACTTAGAAAACAATGGAATTCACTTGCAGTGTGTAACTTGTTAAATGCCGGATAGCAAAAGTATAAAGGTTGCTCAGTATTGTGCTAGACTACTGATAGACTTTCTTTTAGGGGGTATAGGAATGTGAAAGAGGAACCATTTATGTACACTTTGAAAGCCATTTTTTAAAATCTAAAGCAATGATATTGTAGAGTAATACAGTCAACAACTTAGCTTCAAAAGCACTTATGTTTTCTAGAATGAATAAATTTATTTATTAAAAACATGAATTTTGAAATATATATTAAACATTTAACCCTAACTAGTGGATCGCTTATCTTGCTATCATAAATTCACAAGTATGTGTTTATTTTTTAAGAGAGTGTCCATTGATTTTAATAGGTTCTAGGTATAATTTGTGGGGAAGTTAACAAATAAACATCTATGAAAATACTCTGCATGTTATTTTAAAGGGTCACAATTTTTATACTTTTATGACATTTTTCTACTAAATTATTTAACACACAAATTTCTTTTTGTAATAATTTCATGTCATTCACTATAAAATATATTGTAAGTTGATCATCTTTAACATGTTGATGGAAACAGATTATACCTGATACTCCTTTACCTTAACATGATGATCCAGTAATACATACTACTGTTAATAAATGTAGACTATTTACAAATGTATTTTTAAAGTATTGTGTTGGTTCCATTTTGATAGTTAACATTTATCATAATATTTAGTTTCTGAACATTATCATTCTTGTAAAATGATGACTAAAATTAGTCTTTAGAAATTCGGAGTTGGGTTGATTACCCAGTGTGAGGAAATCAAATTTCACTGACAAACAGTAAAGTTAAATAAATGTCACATCCAATCAAAAAGTAGTTTAAATATACAAGAATTATCTGAGCAACAAAATTTTCTGGTCCTTATTTCTGAATAGCTATCCAAGGAAAGATTTTAAAGGTAAAAGAGATGACTGATTATAATTAGCTCTTATTTGAAATCTTTTATGTGTAGTTAGGATTATGCCTTGTGCCTTTTAAAAGCCTTATAAAAGATTTACTTCTCATATCCATTTATTCTTCAAGGTGGAAAGCATCGGTTATTATTTGTAAAATAGTATTTATGTGCTCAGTGTGAGAAGTTAGGAGTATTGTTTTCTTAATAGGAAGATAGAAGCAAATAGAAAGATACCATTATCCTATTTCCTTCTGGAAATACTGTTGACACATTTGCAATACAAAATTTTCCATTTCCTTCTGCAACATTCAACTCCACCTCCTCTTGCTCTATTGTTAATGCTGCTGATCAAGTCAACCCCTTAGCATAACAAAATGCTTCCTAATATTAGCCAGTACCTCTACTTTCTGTCTCTCCCAGTTCATCTTCCACATCACTGCTAGAGGGATTATTTAGAAACACAACTCTGATCTTGTACTGTACTGTTTCAAACTTTCAACACTCTCTACTTCCTATAAGATAAGCTCCAGAAAATAAGCCTCTTCCTGAACCTGATTTCTGTCCACCCTTTCAGTGTCATTTTCTGCCATTACTCACTTGTGTCATACTGTGCTCAAACAAACCATGTTCTCTCATTTCCTGATTTTGCACAGATTATTGCCTTGATCTAGATAGGATATATTCCTCTACCTCTGTTGGGAGTTGGCCAAGGACAGGGACTCAGGAGTCAGAGTTCCCAGGTTTGAATTGCAGCTACATCATTGGCAAACCATGTGATCATGGTCAAGTAATTTAATGTTTCCTTCTACTATGAATGGGGATAGTCTACTAGTCTGTCTGATAAACTCTTATTGGGATGATCAAATGAAGTAATATATGTAGAGCCCTTACATAATGTTTTAATTAATTATCATCATCAAACTGAATAGTTCTCTCTTCTGGGCATCTGTGCCTTTCCTCTTTGATATCATAACATCCTATACATTTCAATAATTTATATTTTTACTAATTATATATTCAATAATTTTCTGGATTCTACCCTGAAATCAGTGTTTAAATAGGAGAAAAGAAATGTTGAGGCAGCAGTGGTAAACAATATGTTAGCATTGAGGAAAAGCTATAGTTTAAAGAAGCTGGGATTGTAATTGAGAGAATGGGTGATGTCAAATCTGAGATTTGAGAGACTGATTACAGGTGAGATGTTATTGAAAGCCAGGGGAAAATACATCCAGGGTAATTATACACACTACAGGAGTAGGACATAGTGACGGTGAGCTTTTAGAAGGGGTCCTAGAAACGGTACTGGTGGCTCAAGCTTGTAATCCTAGCTACTCAGGAGGCTGAGATCTGAGGATCACAGTTCAAAGCCAAACCAGGTAGGAAAAGCTGTGAAACTCTTATCTCCAATAAACCACCAGAAAACGGGAAGTGGCGCTGTGGCTCAAGTGGTAGAGCACTAGCCTTGAGCTGAAGAGCTCGGGAACAATGCTCAGGCCACAGTTCAAGCCCCATGACTGACAAAAAAAAGATGGGGTCCTAGGAATGAGCCTCTGGATCGACAACTACAGGAGAAGCTTGGCTGAATGGTGAATGTTTACTAGACTGAATTCCTAAGGAAAAACCTTCAGTGTTGCTCATACTACCCAGAGTTTAGTGTAATTCTGAAGTGAATTTTAGTCATATAAAATTCATGGATCTTTCTTAAAATTACCACTTAGAGTAACAACTCCATCTGTGCATGCCAATCTCCTCCCTCTCCCAAGAGGTAACAAGCAGAGGTAGATGAGTCCAAACCACAGTTTCGTTCTGTGCATTGCCAAGTTGCGACATCTCCTCAGTCACAGCCTTGCCAGCTCTCTTTTGTTTACTGAGCTAGAAATAAGGGGAAAGGGTGCAGAAAGGGTGTAGAAGACTCAGAATGCCCAGACTCTCCATCATGAATGTACCTCGCTATGTTTGCTGAGGCTCTCTGATTGCTGGAAGACAATGCTGCTTTCTTTCCAAAGGGAATGGACTTAACTCTCCTCTAGGCTTCTTCATCCCACTTGATAGTCTCTCTAGATTGATAACAGGTCATGTCCTCATATCAAGTATAAACTCAAATAAGAGAGGAAGACTGCACAAATTTGCTTGTTTTTACCAAGAAAGACAGGTGTAGACAGATTTTTGAGATTACTTAATTCAGTGATATAGGTATGCTGATCAGAAATTACAGATTCAACTGTGTAGCTTAAGGAGATGTGTGTGTGGTTCAAATGTTTTTCTTAGTTGATACAAACCCCAATTCAACAACAGCTCAGACTAACTCAGTTGAGAAGCCATAAATGGCTTAAAACTCAGAGACTGCCATGCATGGTGGGACATGCTTGCATTACTAGCTACCTGGGTGGCAAAAAAGGGAGCACAGCAAGGTTTAGGCTGGCTGGGGGGCTCGTAGGAGAGACCTCGTGTCCAGAACAAAATGAAACAAAAGGAATGGGAATATAGCTCAATGGTACAGCCCTTCTCTACCATTCATGCATGAGATACAATGACAATAACAATGATAAAGCCCCCAAACCTCAAATACCTATGGAGATAGGAAGTTTGGGGGAAGAGTTAGCCTTAATTAAACAAATATTTGCTGAATTCAGACCATGTTCCAGGAAGCCTTCTAGGAGTTAGTGACCAACACAGAAAAAAAAAATACAACACTCACAGTGTTTACATATTATGAGATGCGACAAATGCATGATGGGAAAATAAATACATATAGGAGTGTTAGAGAAGGGGGATCTAGCTATATACAGTAGGCAGGGGAGACCTCTCTGCGCAGGTGAAATCTGACCTATAGAAAGGGGTGAAGACATCTGGAGAGTAGGTGGCATGTTGATGGGAGAAGAGGAGAGATCAGAGGGCATGAAGGCTAGGGATGAATAAGACCAGGGGTGGCAGATCATCTAGCTTTATAAGCCAGGAAAAGAATTTGCCTTTTACTCTGAATAGATAAGAGCCTTGAGAGTTTGAGCGAAGGAAGCACATGATTTCATCCACTTTAAGAGGATTGTTCTTGCTGCAAATAGAGGTAAGGACTGGCACATGAATCCCAGTTTGACAGTGCTTCCAGTAACCCAGAGAAAGATGATGACAGTGTTACCAGTGACACATGTCTATTAAAGCGGAGCTGACAACATGTACTGATCAAGTCAGCTTTGGATAGTTTTAAAGAAATAGAGGTGTCTCAGAAAACGACAAGATTTTAGTTTGAGCTACTTTCTAAGTTGGACCAGCCATTAACTGAAAGGAGGAAATGAGCAGGGAAACTCTAGTAAGTATATAGGTATAGGGTGGGGGTAGGGTTAAAACTAGAATCAGAAGATTTTAACATGCTATAAACTCAAATAAAGTGGATATGGGCATTGGGATATCAACCTGAAATTCAGAGAGGACCTATGGAGTTGGAAATACATTTGAAAGTTGCAAGAGTTTGTATGGTAATGAACCCATGGAGCTGGGGGAAATAACCTAGTACATAGGTATAAACAGAGCAAGGACTTCTTTAGAAAGAGCCTAGGGACTAGCTGACCTTGCAGAGGTTGGGAATGAGGAGGACCCAGTATCTCATCCACTCTGTAACCCTATCCGTTGAGAGGTCTCACAGACTCTCTTGTCTGGATAGGGCAGACATTTATTCTCACTGGAACGCTCTCTCTCTCTCTCTCTCTTATTTTGAGATTCCCTACACACATATACACACACACATATATTCTAGAATATTCTAATCTGAGATTCCCTTTTTCCTGGCTTCTGCAAGGAAATAGATGCCTTAGATACATTGGCAGCATTTTTCTTTTCTCTTTTTTTGTGTGGTACTAGGGATTGAACCAGTATCTCACACTTGCTAAGCAGGTGCTCTACTACTTGAGCTGTGACTCTAACTCAGATTTGCTTGGGTTAGTTTTGAGGTAAGATCTTGCTTTATCCTGAGGTGGCCTGGGTTGTGATTCTCACACTTCCCTGCATTGCTGGAGATGGCAGGTACCTGTACCCAATCACTGAGTGAAATGGAATATTGAAAACTTTTCTGGACTTTTCTGCCTGAGCTGGCTTTGAATTGTGATTGATCTCCCAATCTATGCCTCCCAAGTAGCTAGGATTACAGGCTTGAGCTACCACATCCAGATGGCAACATTCTTTTGTTGAGTTACTGGATGTCTTTTTAAAAAATTGTGATATTTCACACTAGTGCAGAATATTAACTTTGAGTTAGGAATTCATATGACAATAAGAGAGGAGATGATGACCATGAAGACTCAACTATTAACTCTTTTGGAGATGCCACCTTGTCAGGTTGAGGTATTACCATGTAACAGAGAGAAAGAAGGGAACAGGGAAGAGAGATTGTGCATACATATATGTGCATATAGGAAAAGAAATATGAACCAGCCCACGGAGCAAAACATAGCCTCAAATTTTAAGAGCATGCTGTCAATTTAAAGAATTGCTTGTAGTCATCAAAGTGATTGTCTAAAAACATCAAAGTGATTGTCTGCTAGGATTACAAATATTTAGTTAAGCAGAGATTGGTGTCATTCTCTCTTTTACCAGTGATGAACAGAAATTTTTAATAGGTTTAAGGAGATATCATTTATAATTTCTTCTCATATCCTAAATTTTTAGGAGTAAAGAGCAAGAAGCTAGAGAGAAAGGTTATGCCATTTTAGTGAGTCAGAAAAGCTAC